ATCTATCTATCTATCTATCTATCTATCTATCTATCTATCTATCTATATTTATGACTGGATGGCTCTTTGTCAGGAGGGCTCTGATAACATTTTCTTGCCCTGGTGAAGAGAATTGGACTGGATGGCCTTAAGTATTTTCTGTTGGTCATGGGGGTTCTGTGTGGGAAGTCTGCCCCAATTCTGTCATTTGTGGGGTTCAGAATGCTCTTTGATTGCAGGTGAACTACAAATCTCAGTAACTACAAATCCCAAATGTCAAGCTGTATTTCCCCCAAACTCCATCTGTGTTCATATTTGGGCATATGGAATATTTGTGACAAGTTTGGTCCAGATCCATCATTATTTGAGTCCACAGTGCTCTCTGGATGTAGGTGAACTACAACTCCCAAACTCAAGGTCAATGCCCACCAAACCCTTCTAGTGTTTTCTGTTGGTCATGGGAGTCCTGTGTGCCATGTTTGGTTCAATTCCATCATTGGTGGAGTTCAGAATGCTCTTTGATTGTTGGTGAACTACAAATCCCAGCAACTACAACTCCCAAATGAGAAAATCAAAAAATTTTGAGTGAAAGGACATACATTGGGTTGTTAGGTGTATGCTGTCCAAATTTGGTGTCAATTGGCCCACTGGTTTTTGAGTTCTGTTAATCCCACAAACGAACATTACATTTTTATTTATATAGATAGTTGTATTGTTGGGTGCTTTGTTGGGTAGATGTTTTGATTGAGGGAGGAGAATCTTTTGAATTTAGGAGCAACAAACATTTGTTTCATAGCTACTCATGTATGAAACGGAAATTGCAGCCTGCCCCACAGTGGTTATGATTTCCACTAGACATCAGAGCAAACAAAAAATGGTACAGAGATACAGACAAGTGTGTGAGAGTTGGCAAATTCGACTCTAATAGTAACAGAAACACTGCCACCGGAGGAATACGTTCTGTATATTTCCTTTTAAAAAAATCCAACAAATTCAAATTTCACAAGATAGCATTCATTTCAATGCAGAAAATTCTTAGAAAGGTAACTCTACATCAAGATTTTGCTCGGAAAAGGGAACAATATCTATAGCTATGGATCTTTTAATTACAACAACTACAAATGAGGGTTCAATTCTACCTGTTAGCTATAACTAACACAAAAGGAGGATAAAAAATAATAATAATAATTCATGAAAATCGCACTTGAAAATACAGTGACAAGAGGTATAAAATAGTAAGCACTTTTAAGTATGACACACAAAGTTGACTCTGTAATGTACGCTCCTACTCCGCATCACAGTATATTACTTTAACTTTTAAGGAAGCCTCCCAAAGAAAGAAAGACATTTATTTGTGAAAACATAAACACATACACAGGTGTGTGTGCGTGAGTGCGTGTGCACACACAAATGACTTCGCATTTTTAGCAAATCTTGCAATACACTTTTCGTTTCTTTCAAAAATGAAAAAGAAGAAAAGGGACTTAGTTTCAATCAGGAAGACAGAAAAGGGCAGACCAGAAAAGTACTCTTGGCATAAAGGATAAGAGCCTGGGGATTTAAAATATAATAATTCAATGTGATACTGACCACCAGCTGAGATGGCTTATAAAAAGGACAAAAGTCATGGAAAATGATATGTTTTTACGCCATCCCAGAGGATAGGACTCTGAATCGATGGTTATTACTAGATGGATCACTTTGTGGAAAACAACAGGGGATTGCTATATTCGTTGGGTCTGGCATTTCCAGTTTGTACCGAGGACAAGAAGGATGGAGCCAATGAATTTTGGCAAGGCATATTTACTCTTTTGGCCTACAACTCCCATTATCATCAACCTAGGGAATTTTGGGAGCTGTAGTCAATTCTGCCCCAACCTCTCAATTTCTGTTTTTCATGTTCTTAAGATGCATTACAACTACTCTTGACATCCAGTAATATGAGAATTTGTTTCCCTTCCTTCCTTCCTTCCTTCCTTCCTTCCTTCCTTCCTTCCTTCCTTCCTTCCTTCCTTCCTTCCTTCCTTCCTTCCTTATTTCCCTGCCTCCCTCCCTCCCTCCCTCCCTCCTTCCTTCCTTCCTTCCTTCCTTCCTTCCTTCCTTCGGGAAAGCTTCTATGAGCTGACAAAAGAGCTCAGTTTACCAAAAGGAGCACAGCACCATCAAACTTTCTAAAATTGCCTCTTTTAAGGTCAGCTCACATTGTGAACTAGAAACTGAACTCAGTGTGAGAGAATTCAAGGAGTCCTAGGCCCCTTCTACACTGCCACATAAAATCCAGATTATCTGCTTTGAATTGGATTATATGGCAGTGTAGACCCCCCTCTACACTGCCATATAATCTAGATCAGGGGTCCTCAAACTAAGACCCGGGGGCTGGATACGGCCCTCGAAGGTCATTTACCCGGCCCTCGCTCAGGGCAACCTAAGTCTGAAATGACTTGAAAGCACACAACAACAACAACAACAACAACAACAATCCTATCTCATCAGCCAAAAGCAGGGCCACACTTTCCATTGAAATACTAATAAGTTTATATTTGTTTTAATTATTGTATTGTTTTAAAGGGTTTTTTTTGCACTACAAATGAGATGTGCAGTGTGCATAAGAATTTATTCATATTTTTTTCAAATTATAATCCTGCCCTCCAACAGTTTGAGGGACTGTGACCTAGCCCTCTGTTTAAAAAGCTTGAGGACCCCTGATCTAGATTCTCAAAGTAGATAACCCACATTATCTGCTTTGATAATTATACAGGGTTATAATTAATTAATTAGATAAATTGGATTTTACATGGCAGTGTAGAAGGGGCCTAGACTGCTATATAATCTAGTTTAAAGCAGATAATCTGGAATTTATACGGCAGTGTAGAAGCCAAGATTTCCTCATCAATCTGATTCCGATTCTCCAATCACTATCTTTGAGATTTCAAAGAGGTAGCTGTGTTAGGCCCCTTCTACACTGCCATATAAAATCCAGATTGTTTGATTTGAACTGGATTATGTGGCACTGCAGACTCATACAATCCAGTTCAAAGCAGATAAAATGGATTATCTACTTTGATGATCTGGATTATTTGGGAGTGTAGAGCTAGCTTCACCTTCCCAGACATTTCTGGAAATAGCTACTCTCAAAAGAAGGAATGACTAGCAATGAGAGCAGTTATTTTGCTGGAAGGCATTTTCCCAGGAGGAGTGATCAACCTTTCTATACATGGGAGACGCGGACTGTCTACAGACGTCACATGCAACTCCTGGAACAATTCCATCAGTGTTGCCTCTGAAAAATCCTGCAAATCTCTTGGGAACACAAGTGGACAAATGTCAGCGTGCTGGAAGAAGCAAAGACCACCAGCACTGAAGTGATGGTCCTCCACCATCAACTCCGCTGGACCGGCCACGTTGTCCGGATGAACAACCACTGTCTCCCAAAGCAGTTGCTCTACTCCGAACTCAAGAATGGAAAATGGAATGTTGGTGGGCAGGAAAAGAAATTTAAAGACGGGCTCAAAGCCAACCTTAAAATCTCTGGCGTAGACACTGAGAACTGGGAAGCCCTGGCCTGTGAGCGCTCCAGCTGGAGGTCAGCTGTGACCAGCAGTGCTGTAGAATTTGAAGAGGCATGAATGGAGGGCGAAAGAGAGAAACGTGCCAAGAGGAAGGCGCGTCAAACCGACTGGGACCACATTCCACCTGAAAACCAATGCCCTCACTGCGGGAGATGATGCTGATCAAGAATAGGGCTCCAAAGTCACCTACGGACCCACCCTGGAGGATTATCCTACTCGGACAATGAGGGATCGCCTAAGTAAGTACATGATGGAAGGAGTGGGCAATATGTTGTTTCACTTGGGACAGTTGTGTTCCTTTTAGTCTGGAAAACCCAATCCAAGGAGTCAGAGTTTCTGGAAATGGCAATGCCCCAGCATTATCATCTCAGGCATTGCATCTTTATTTTTGGTGGGATTTTTTAAATACAATTAAGAGTGTATATGTATAGTTTGATTGTTTCAAATAGTTGTGTCTGGTTGACATTTCCCCCACATATCAGTAGGGGGAAAGGTGCTCTAAATCTTCAGTTATTACATAACCCACTGAGTTATATTTTCTGATGGTGTTCATTACACCACATTTTGAGGTGGTCCTTTAGCTTTCCATTACAAATGAAACAGTTTCCAAACATGGCTCTTCTAAATGTTGGATTTAAATTCCCATTAAACTCAAATTGGCATGGCCAATTTTTGGGATTTGGAGTCCAACATCTGGAGGAAACAATTCTGGATAAAGAATCTCAGGAAACCGGGCTGGGAAAAATCTCTGTCCAAGGCACCAGGAAAGTCAATAGGCTGGTGATGTCATTTGGTTTAGGAAGAATCAAAATGGTTATATTTTAATTCCACAAACTTTATGGGATTCTCGTTGCCTTCTCCTGCAAATACTTGAAATGTGTAATGAGGCACTGATAGATTTATTGTTGAATGATGTTTGTGGAGTTGTGTTTCGAGATATGTAGTATCTTTTATATGTTGTACACCGCCGCGAGTCGCCCTAGGGCTGAGAGCGGCGGTCAATAAATGAAGCAAATAAATAAATAAATAAATTTTCCTGGCTCTTCTCTTCCTCAAATTAATGACCTCTTCACACGTACCGCAGAATCACCACAGATCATGGCAATTCCAGGAGTGTAAATCCGGCGGTGTGGGTAACCCCTTGCCCCACGCCCCGCATCGGCCGACTCACCCATGTTCTCATCTCACAGAGGGAAGCATCTGCCGCTCAGCTTCCCCCACTGATCCATGGCAACACAGAAAGCCTCCCATGCTGCTGCTGTGGCAACATGCATCGGTTTGCCTTTTCCTTTAAGATGGAGCCCCACAATACATTGTATAATGGGAACCAACGGGTTCCATTTGAAAAGAGAAGGCACTGGTGCATGCTGCTGATTTCTCCCCCATGTGATGAAGTCGTAAGTCAAATTGTCTATTCCCTAGTTCTGAAGAAGGGGGTCTATTTGCATCACATTCTTTTATCTTAAAATGTTATTTACTCAAGTGGTATACAGACCAAAGTATTATTGAAAATGTAATGACACTGAACAGGCTTATGGGGCAGGAGAGCAAAATGTTCCCCATAACAGAACAACTGAGTCAAACATCACTTGGGTCTCTCACTAAACAAGGATTCCATATAGAGATAAACAGTTTCATTAAGTACCCAGACTATACGTCTCTTTACAGTGTGCACAAGTCCCAATAGTAGAACCATGATTCACGCAAATCATTGCTTTCCCGATTCCATTCCAAGAGTCTGCAGAATGCGAGTCTTCCAGAACGAAACGATCCACTACCGTTCCCGATAGTTTGCCTTTTTCTTTAAGAAGAGGTGGTTGTTTCTACAGAAAGGTCTACTCCCTCTTTGTTCAGCTCAAAGGAAAAAGGAACGTATGTGACTGGTTTGGGTTTGCATCAAGGGACAGCATTATAGAAAGAAAGAAAGGATGAAAGAAAAAGCCCACATTGAAATTTTTAAAAACCTACCTCAGCTAAAATGTTTCCATTGTCACACGTTACACTACACGTACTACAAAAGTGCTGGGATATGAGCTGCTGATTTCAATTTCTTGTATATGCGTGTGTGAGACACTGAGAATCTGAATTAAACAAATTTTCAAAAGAGCTTATAAAAACCAGCTAGAAATGTATAGTTCAGCAGTGTTAGGTTATTTCACTATTTCAGTATCTCTGTTTGCAACCTCTTGCTGTGATTTTATCTTGAGGTATGCAAGATTGTTTTTCAGCCCTCCCCCTCGTCATATATAAAAGATCTGAATTTTGTGTCATTTTTTAATTAAAGAGACAGCCAATCTCTTCAGACGGGCGTGGTTCTCCTGTTGACCATGTTGATATGAAGTCCTTCCTTGAATTCCTTTTGAAGGAAATTGTGGACTTGAAGAAAACCAGCATCTTGTTCCATATTGTAACTTGGAGCAGTGGTAACTTTTAAGGGTTCCCTGGAGAGCGTGTACATGGAGAATTCATTCATGGGGATGGAGCCGGCCATTTTCAGGCCCAGTGGAGAAACATCCCTGGATGGAGAAGGCTCCGTGGACCGAGAACTTGATCTGGACCTCCTCCTCCTATACCTATAGCTCGGCATTCTGGCATATGGAGAAGAAGAAGAAGTCTTGAGGAATTCCCTCTTGGTTTTAAACCGCAGTTCCTTGTTTTTTTCAATATAAATGTTCACAGCTAGAACTCCAACTGTTTCTGCCACAATGAAAGACAACGCTCCAAAATAAAAAGACCAGCCATAATTGTATTGGTTCTTTTTGTCCTCGTCCCGTTTGTCACTAGGATCACCTGCGTTGCTGGATATGTAGACGATTATCCCAATTATGTTACTTAAACCTGGAAAGTAAGGGATAAAAATAGTCCAGTTAGGGGAATCATTTCAATGAACAATAATCATCACTCTCAAGTTTGGAGCAGATATACTTTACCCTCAAGTGACATGGAATGACCATTTGTGGTAATTCAGGTATTATACCTAAGAAACCTGGGAAAGAGCAAACTTGATCCTTCACTCCAACAATAAACTCAACTGCCAATACCAACTAAAAAAATCAATTGTTTCTCAAAGGGTATGTGTGATTTCCACCAAATCAATGCTTTTGTTCTAGCTGGGACAAAGAACTGGAGACCCTTCTACACAGGCCCTAAAATGTGGAAGAAACCAGGATAAAAGGATTTTTTTTTTGTTGTGTCAGGAGCGACTTGAGAAACTGCAAGCCGCTTCCTGGTGTGAGAGAATTGGCTCTCTGCATCTGCAAGGACGTTGCCCAGGGGACGTCCGGATGTTTTGATGTTTTTATCATCCTTGTAGGAGGCTTCTCTCATGTCCCCGCATGAGGAGCTGGAGCTGATAGAGGGAGCTCATCTGCCTCTCCCCGGATTCGAACTTCTGACCTGGCGGTCTTTAGTCCTGCCGGCACAGGGGTTCAACCCACTGCGCCACTGGGGGCTCCAGGATAAAAGGATGTGTGTGTGGCTAAATGATGGTTAAGGAAAATGCAAGCTGATTCGGATTAACAGCTGAAAAACATGTGTTAAAAAAATTAGCACATTTGAATGATTGTATGTCCCTACAGTTAAGGAGAACACTGGACTCCATTCCTATATGCTGGTTTGGATTGCTCTAATGCATGTCTGCATTTTAAAATCCTGAAACAGCCGATCAAGGTGGTAAACAAATGGAACCATGGCCACACAGGTGGCTAAATGGAATCACAATTGGAAAGCAATTCCCATGAAAACTCTCCAAAATCATTCCTTTGTTTTGATGTTTATGAAATTAAACAGAGCTTGAATTTACAGTAAGGTACAGAGAGATAATAAGAAATCTGCTTGTGTGTACATTTAAATATCAGCATTAGCGCCTATAAGGTCCAGGGAACCTCAGAGAGTAAATTTTAAAAAATTAAGTAAACTCCCAGCGTATGTCCCCCGGCTATCTTGTGGATGTCTAAAATATGTTACAAACAAAGATGTCAGGATGGTGGGGGACCATTTACTGAGGGCAGGTCTGTGTTTGGACTTGCTATTAGGTCCTGCAATTTTTTGCTCCACTTCTCTGACCCGGATTATGATTCAAATTTAATAGAAAAAGACTAGGAAAAGGTCAATAGCACTCTCAGCTTGTAGCTTCCATGTTGATCGATAATGGGTTTGTTCCACTTTTTAGTCCAAACTTTAAGTGAAATGTCCAGTACATTTTCTCATATTGTACAGCCCCTCTAAAGTTTAAAATAAAACCCAGAGTGGATTTACCATGTCAACGACACAGAAGCCAGCACCCACTACTGGTTAACACTCAAATTATGTTAATGTCGTAAATTTCTCTGGGGAGAGTATTACAGATTCCGATACATAATACTCTGATCCTTGATTTAAATTTTTCTGTAAGGAAAATGGTTTAAAGAATGTTGCTGTAGAGTGTATCAGTGCAGGCAAAGTGGTAAACAATTCCCTCTGCCTAAATCCTCTACCTGCTGTCCCAAACCTTTTTTTATGCCTTCTAAAACTTTCCTGAGAACAAAGTGTTGCTGGCTCTGAGGTGCACCGTGGTGCCAATACAAAAGAAGCTTCCTGGCAGAAATCCTCAATGGCTTTTTTTGTTTATGTATGGAGCATTGGCTGCATCCTGTTCACTCATGCCTTCTGTAAGAGGATGATGAAGACAGCCTAGGGGAAGACCAGCAAGAAATTTGGACCCTAAGAGGAAGATGCAGAACACTAGCTTTCCAAATTAAAAAGCAGAAAATGCAAAGCAAAGAAAAAAAAATGGGAGGCAGTACTGGTGGATCAAGCGAGTCAAATCCATAACAATATATAAGATTGTCTTCTAAACAGCGAGCCATCTGCTCCGTTTGAAAAGTGTGCTGAGGTAAATCACAGAGGGGAAAGCCAAGCCCAGACGCACAGGCACCTTGTTGGGGAATGACAAGGAGTAACACTTTCCCCCTTTTGTGTGTGTATCAGTAAATGCTGCTGAGGAGCTAGGAGTTACGTAATTATCCAGGGAGATTTCTGAAGCCCCTGGCACTGAAGGCGAAGCTCGTACACCCACGCGATGTTTGTAAGCAGCCCTGTGCTCTGGAAAGAAAAATCATCCACTAATATATTCCTAGAATAATAAGCACCTTGGTATCTAGGGTCACTTCTAGCATGTGTGGTGCATGTTTTATTGTCAGGCTGTCTGCAAAATGGAACTGTCGTGGTCTCCTTGGTTTTTTTTGTCGTGTCAGGAGCGACTTGAGAGACTGCAAGTCGCTTCTGGTGTGAGAGAATTGGTCATCTGCAAGGATGTTGCCCAGGGGATGCCCGGATGATTTGATGTTTTTATCATCCTTGTGGGAGGCTTCTCTCACGTCCCCACATGAGGAGCTGGAGTTGATAGATGGAGCTCATCTGCCTCTCCCCGGATTCAAATCTGCAACCTGTCGGTCTTCAGTCCTGCTGGCACAGGGGTTTAACCCACTGTGCCACCGGGGGCTCTGGTGTAACAAATACTTAGTGCTTCGAGGCTTGAATTCAAATCTCCTGGCATCTGGGGAATTTTCCTCCTCATCCCCACATAGAATCATAGACTCATAGAGTTGGAAGAGACCCCATGGGCCATCCAGTCCAACCCCCTGCCAAGAAGCAGGGATATTGCATTCAAAGCACCCCTGACAGATGGCCATCCAGCCTCTGTTTAAAAGTTTCCAAAGAAGGAGCCTCCACCACACTCCGGGGCAGAGAGTTCCACTGCTGAACAGCTCTCACAGTCAGGAAGTTATTCCTAATGTTCAGATGGAATCTTCTTTCTTGTAGTTTGAAGCCATTGTTCCGTGTCCTAGTCTCCAAGGAAGCAGAAAACAAGCTTGCTCCCTCATTCCTGTGACTTCCTCTCACATATTTATACATGGCTCTCATGTCTCCTCTCAGCCTTCTCTTCTTCAGGCTAAACATGCCCAGCTCTTTAATCCGCTCTTCATAGGGCTTGTTCTCCAGGCCCTTGATCATTTTAGTTCGCCTCCTCTGGACACATTCCAACTTGTCAATATCTCTCTTCAATTGTGGTGCCCAGAATTGTACACAATATTCCAGGTGTGGTCTAACCAAGGCAGAATAGAAGGGTAGCATTACTTCCCTAGATCTAGACACTGCTCCCATTGATGCAGCCAAAATCCCATTGGCTTTTTTGCCACTACAATACATTGTTGGCTCATGTTTAACTTGTTGTCCACGAGGACTCCAGGGCCTTTTTCACATGTACTGCTCGCGAGCCAGGCGTCCCCCATTCTGTATCTTTGCATTTCATTTTTTCTGCCTAAGTGGAGTGTCTTGCATTTGTCACTGTTGAACTTTCAGAAGAGGGACGGTGGCAGACAAGTCATTCACATATTATATGTATTAATTATACTTTTGCTCTTCACTGAGTTCTTTTCTCCCAACTGGGTAGGCACCTATACTGTAGAATGGACACCGTTATGACATTACTTTAACAGCTATAGTTGGATTTTATAGAATCATGGGAGCTGTAGTTTTACAAAGTCTTGAGCCTTCTCCATCAAAGAATGCTAGGGCTCACCAAATTACAAATGCCAGATTCCATAGCTTTGAGACATAGTAATTAAAATGGTGATAAACTGCCTGAATTCCACAGTTTAGATGCCCTCAAATATATTTAAGCTCCTCACTTTTGAGAGTCAGAGTATTAAAAGTGTGCGTGTGAGAGAGTATGTGAGTGTGAGGTTGGCCCTCAAGCAACTATCTCAACCTGGTTTTCTCTCTCTATTGGTGGGGATGAGAGACAGGGCCTTCTCAGTGATTGCCCCCTGGTTATGGAACTCCCTTCCTGGCAATATTAGATTAGCCCCCTCCCTCCTGTGCTTTAGAAGGATGGTGAAGACCTGGCTGTGGGACTAAGCCTTTGGGGAAGTGCAGTGAGGCAATAATATAATGGTGTCATGAGATAGTTTTTAAGAAACTGATTTTAAAGTGGATATAAGTGATTTTAATGTTTGCATATATTTATGGTTTTATGTCCCAGCATTGAATGTTTGCTGTATATATATTGTTCTCTGCCTTGAGTGCCCAGCAGGGTGAGAAGGGCAGAATATAAATGTTTTAGATAGATAGATAGATAGATAGATAGATAGATAGATAGATAGATACAACAAGTTCATGCTGGCTGGGAATTATGGGAGCTATAACCTATGACAACTGGATGGTATGAGGTTGGAAAAGACTGTTATCAAATATTATGCAATAGCAATCAAGATACCAAGATATCAAGATGGGCATACCAAATCACCTTATCTCTCTCCTGAGGAATCTGTATAAGGACCAGTAGAGACAGTAAGAACTGACCATGGAACAACAGACTGGTTCAAGATTGGAAAAGGCGTACGGCAGGGTTGTATACTCTCACCCAACCTATTCAACTTGTATGCAGAACACATCGTGCAATGTGTGGGGCTTGAGGAATGCAAGGCTGGGGTGAAAACATTAACAACCTTAGATATGCAGATGACATCACTTTGATGGCTGAAAGCGAGGAGGAGCTGAGGAGCCTTCTAATCAAGGTGAAAGAAGAAAGCGAAAAAACTGGCTTGCAGTTAAACATAAAAAAACACCAAGATTATGGTAACAAGAATGATTGACAACTGGGAAATAGAGGGAGAAAACATGGAGGCAATGACAGATTTTGCATTTCTAGGTGCAAAGATTACTGCAGACGCAGACTGCAGCCAGGAAATCAGGAGACGCTTACTTCTTGGGAGGAGAGCAATGACAAATCTTGATAAAATAGTGTAGAGACATCACACTGGCAACAAAGATCCGCATGGTAAAAGCAATGGTAT